TCTATATGATATAAAAAGCCAACAATGAAGAGTGAATGTAATATAAAAAGCCAACAATGAAGAATGAATTTAAGATAAAAAGCCAACAATGAAGAGTGAATGTAATATAAAAAGCCAACAATGAAGAATGAATGTAAGATAAAAAGCCAACAATGAAGAGTGAATGTAAGATAAAAAGCCAACAATGAATAATAAATGTAATATAAAAAGCAAACAATGAAGAATGAATGTAAGATAAAAAGCCAACAATGAAGAGTATATAATATAAAACGCCAACAATGAAGAATGAATGTAAGATAAAAAGCCAACAATGAAGAGTGAATGTAAGATAAAAAGCCAACAATGAATAGTAAATGTATATAAAAAGCCAACAATGAAGAATGAATGTAAGATAAAAAGCCAAAAATGAAGAGTAAATATAATATAAAAAGCCAACAATGAAGAGTGAATGTAAGATAAAAAGCCAACAATGAAGAGTAAATGTAATATAAAAAGCCAACAATGAAGAGTGAATGTAAGATAAAAAGCCAACAATGAAGCGTAAATATAATATAAAAAGCCAACAATGAAGAATGAATGTAAGATAAAAAGCCAACAATGAAGAGTAAATGTAATATAAAAAGCCAACAGAATGAATGTAAGATAAAAACCAACAATGAAGAGGGATGTAATATAAAAAGCCAACAATGAAGAATGAATGTAAGATAAAAAGCCAACAATGAAGAGTGAATGTAAGATAAAAAGCCAGCAATGAAGAGTAAATGTAATATAAAAAGCCAACAATGAAGAATGAATGTAAGATAAAAAGCCAACAAAGAAGAGTAAATATAATATAAAAAGCCAACAATGAAGAGTGAATATAAGATAAAAAGCCAACAATGAAGAGTAAATGTAATATAAAAAGCCAACAGAGTGAATGTAAGATAAAAAGCCAACAATGAAGAGTGAATGTAATATAAAAAGCCAACAATGAAGAATGAATGTAAGATAAAAAGCCAACAATGAAGAGTGAATGTAATATAAAAAGCCAACAATGAAGAATGAATGTAAGATAAAAAGCCAACAATGAAGAGTGAATGTAAGATAAAAAGCCAAAAATGAAGAGTAAATGTAATATGAAAAGCCAACAATGAAGAATGAATGTAAGATAAAAAGCCAACAATGAAGAGTGAATGTAAGATAAAAAGCCAACAATGAATAGTAAATGTAATATAAAAAGCCAACAATGAAGAATGAATGTAAGATAAAAAGCCAACAATGAAGAATGAATGTAAGATAAAAAGCCAACAATGAAGAGTAAATATAATATAAAAAGCCAACAATGAAAAGTGAATGTAAGATAAAAAGCCAACAAAGAAGAGTAAATATAATATAAAAAGCCAACAATGAAGAGTGAATGTATGATAAAAAGCCAACAATGAAGAGTAAATGTAATATAAAAAGCCAACAGAGTGAATGTAAGATAAAAAGCCAACAATGAAGAGTGAATGTAATATAAAAAGCCAACAATGAAGAATGAATGTAAGATAAAAAGCCAACAATGAAGAGTGAATGTA